TGATGTTGCTGATTTTGAATGGCTGGTGCAATTGCGATACTATGTAAAAACTAACGATGAGGATGCTCACGCAAGCGTGCCAAGTAAAATCGAAAGTCACTGTGTTCATCACTGTTTACCGTATGCATATGAGTACCTCGGAGGAGGTGGAAAAATCAGGCTTGCCATTACACCTGTGACCTCACGCTGCTTCCGAGCATTTTTCTGTGCGCTTCGGACTCATGCTGGGTGCACATTTCGATGCTTCACAGGCTCTGGTGCATCCGCAACGCTTGTTGGATTCACTCGGGCACTAGCCACCCACACGGTCACACTGAATTGTGTTGCTTCCCTGGAATGTGCTATAGTGGCAATGTTGCTGCGTGGTGCGGCCGCAAGTGGATCCTGGATGTGTCTAGAGGGCTTCAGCCGGCTCCCCCCTGAAGTGATCTCGGTCACTATGGCCGAAATTAGTGAGAATTTTGTAGTAGCACTACGAGACGGGTTAAATATGTCACCGTTCCAAACACATGGAGCTCTTTCAAGGGGAATGACTCGAACTTTTGTGATCGAATGCGACTCTGGTGTAGTTGATGTAAAATTTACAAGCGATATACGGGAAATATTTCGTCCTGTTTCACTTGGCATGCCGGACCTCGTTAGCATAGGGGAGATTTTATTGTGCGCTCATGGTTCATCACGCGCGCAGGCGCACTTTTTGGCCACACATGTTTCCCAATCACTGAGACTTTGCGCAGAGTTACTTTCAGGGCGTGAAGCACATTATAAATTTGGGCTTAGATTGATGAACACGGTCATAGTTACCGTTGCCTCCACGATGAGGAGGCAAGGCTGTTTTGTGGACGGTGTCGAAACCAAGTCCAGCCTGACAGACGCCATTCTCATGCGAGCACTGATTGACATTGTAGAGTCTGGGATTGCATTACGCGATATTGAATTATTCAAAGAGATTTTGAAGTCGGTGTTTCGTGGAGTTCCCCTACTAGAACGTGATCTGAGCGAAGATTTTGTCGCGGCATTTAGAGAGGCATGTAAGGAGCGAAAACAATTGCCGTTAGACGGCTTTTGCACAAAAGTGATGCATCTCTATGACGCAATTACTTCGTGGCCTGGCGCTGGTCTTATTGGTCGCTCATTTTCCGGGAAGACAAGTACTTGGAAAAATCTAATCACCACGATAGGTCTACTGAAGCCTCAGAACAAGGTTGCCGTCGCATCCCTTGTCACCTATCCAGGTGCTCTAACCTTGGATGAGCTCTACGGGACGTTTCATCCGGAAAGTCGTGAGTGGACGGATGGCATTTTGTCGAGTTGCTATCGCGAGCTATCGCAGAGGAGCGTCCGCGATGTTCCAAGAAAGCGCCAATTCCTTGTATTGGATGGTGCTGTTGATGCGTCCTGGACTGAGCAACTCCACGGTGCTCTGGATGACTCTGCTACTCTGTGCTTGACAAACGGTGAATTTATTCATCGGAGTAAAAATTTATCTGTCTTATTCGAATCTGAGTCTCTTTATGCTGCTGCCCCTACTGTGGTGAGCCGAATTAGTGTAGTAAGCTTCGCGGATAGTTACATGAAGTGGCGGGTGCTTTACGACACGTGGATCAGCTTGCGTGATGTGCAGGGCGTTGTAGAACCTCAAGGAGATTCGACCTTTGCAGGCGACTCTCAGAAAGTTAATACAATACCTACCGCCGAATCAACCAGAAGCGTATATCAGCCCGATCTTACCAACGACCAAAAAGCTGTTTATTTGAGTGATGAGGAATGTCGACTACTCGAAGCATTAGCTGAGTGGTTGGTTGAACCAGCCCTTGCTTTTGTACAGCATGAGCTGCACGGTCATGTCGAACCCTTGAGCGATGAGTCGTTAGTCCAGTCGCTGTTGCGACTCCTTGATGGATTGCTCCATATCTGTCTGCGGGGAGCTGCTCCAGCTGCAGGCTCAGCAGATGTCAAGGAAAGGCGCCAACGAAGACAGCACATCGAGTGTGCATTTCTCTGGGCACTTTTGTGGTCGGTGGGCGCATCTGGTCCTGAGACAGCTCAGACACAATTTGGGGTCTTCCTGCGGGATATCATTTCTGACTCTCGAGTCATTCGCACTAGGTATATGACCGTGCACGAATCACTGACAAGACGGGGTTGGTGTGTTCCTGAATTCACGGGGGTATTTTCGGGCACTCTTCAGCTCCCGCTTCCTTCGAAAGGGTCTGCACACGACTATGAGTATCGGCCAAGAGACAATGAAACTGGAGCATGGAGAATGTGGACGGACGCGCTGCAGGCGGGAGGACAGTATTCTGCCCCAGAAATTAGTGGCACCACAGTAATCAGTGAATTACTCGTGCCTACGATCCAGACGGTGCAGTCTGGACTACTTCTTGATCTAATGATGCGCGCTGGTGGTTACCCTGCACTTTTTTGCGGTCCTCCAGGATCTGGCAAAACTGTACATGCTCGCGCGGCACTTGCACGCTTGCCTCGAAAGAAGCATCGAACCGCATACCTAAAGCTTCATGCAACTACCTCAGCTCGAGCATTTTCTAACGCGCTACTTGGCCGCCTTGTTAAACGACGCAAGGGTGTACACGGCCCACCAATAAATCAGAAAGCCGTAATCTTCGTGGATGATATAAATCTCCCGGATGTTGGAGGACTTGGCGAAACGCAGATGCCACTTGAACTCCTCCGCGGACTAATTGAAAATGGCTCATGGTTTGAAACCCCCGATGCAAAGGCCACCACTAATTCAAGTGGTGGCCAAGGGCGGAGCGCATATCGCGATATTGAAGTAATGAATACAGGAGCTCAGGTGAATCCCCGCGATATGCCGCTAGGCAAACCAGTACTGCAGCGCATTGAAGACACTTCAATATGGGCATCCACTAATGGGCGGGCCGCTACGAGCGTAAGTGTCCGACTTTTACGCCATTTCACGATCATACATACCTCAGATCCGAGCGACACAACCTTAACACGAGTATACACGGTGCTCGTTGAGTCTCACTTTGCATCCCAGTCTTTTGCATCTGACATTGTGGCGGCCACTGCAGCTCTCGTGGCAGCAACTATTTGGACGTTGCGAGAAGTTGTGTCGGAGCTAAGACCGACCCCCAACAGACAACTCTGCATCTTTGATACGCGTAATTCTGCACGCTGCATACAAGGAGTATTGAGGTGTCGGGCAGATGATGACTTTGACAAGTCCGGCCTGGCTAGACTTTGGGTGCATGAGGTATTGCGCACTTATAGCGACAGGCTTTTGGCTTTCGAAGACCAGGAATGGATGGTAACGCACATACAGACCGCGGTATTGCGCAATTTCAAGCTGGATACTGATACACTCATAACAGACCTTCAACAGCTTATCTTTACTGACTTCCATAACCCCCTTGAGCGTGGGGTCTATCTCGAAGTTCGCGATCCGACTCAACTGTATGATGCCTTGGATCGGGCTCAGGATGAGTTCTGCAATTCAGAGTCTATGGCTAATCCTGAAGTAGACAAAGTTTCGACGGATAGGATACAAAACAATGTGGATAACGCTGATTTGGTGAGCGGGAACAAACGCGTCGTAGTGTTTCCGCTAGTAGCAGCTCAGATCTCGCGTCTTGTGCGAGCTTTTGGCTCATCAGGCAGTGGCCACGCTCTGCTTGGTGGCGCATCTGGGACAGGTCGGCGAGCTGTCGCGCGTCTTGCTGCCCATGTTTCTGGCTGTGCATTGCTCGAGCCATGGCCATATGCGCAGTTTGATTCGCTAGCTTCGTGGCGCAATGAACTGAAGCTGGCTTTGAGGCGTGCGGGTATTGGTGATGTGCCGGTCTGCTTGCTCATTGCTGATACACACGTACTGTCTCTCGGGGAGATTCTTGCAAGCATCTGTGACGTTATGGCTACTGGGCAGACTCCGGGTCTTTTTCTCGTGGACGAACGCGCAGAAATTGCAGAAGAAATGCGCTCTCGCATGCGAAGGCAACGTGGCGCTAAGAATGCAGAAACAATGAGTCACGATGATCTATTTTCTATGTTCTCGGAGCGGGTACGCGTCCAGCTTCACATCGCGTTGGTTGTCTCTCTGGACAAACAAACAATTACAAGGGCCAATCTCGTCATGATGCTGCGCCGATTTCCAGCATTGGTGTCTCATTTCATGTGTGTTGATCATCACGCCTCTTGGCAGGATGATGCGCTGTCTGCTGTAGCTGAGAGCTTTCTTGGTTCTTCCAGGTTTGTGATTGGGACCGGGTTGGAGCCCGAGGGTCACAAAAAGACCGCGCGCGATGTTCCAAACGGCACTAGCAAGGAGCTTTCTACCATACCTGGAGCGAGACCTGAATCCACAACTGATTATGCAGAAAAACGCCTTCAGGTGGCTGCAGTAGCACTCTGTCGCCAGATCCACACTTCAGTTGTGTGTCGCTGTGACTATCGCGTGTCTGCACCGACATCAACTTTCCTTGAGCTCCTCGAGTGCCTTCGAGCAAATCTCGATCGAGCAAGGATGGCTATTGGAAACAGGCAGACCAAATATGGCAGGGCATTGGACGTAGCTCATCATGCTCAAAGGGCAATTGCCACCATCGGTGATGGTATTGATGCGGCGCGGGCCGTACTTGATGCCACCAACTTCGAAGCCGTCGTTTTTGACACTGAGTTGAGTCATAAAAAGTCAATTTCTGGAGTAGAATCAAAATACGCAGAAGTTGAAGCGGACGCGGAGGCCCTTGTTCACGAAGAAGCAGCAGCGCGGGTTCTTGCAGAGGAATTCGAACGTGAGATTGCTCAGGCCCAACCCGCATTTGACGAAGCCTATGCGGCTCTCGAAGCTTTGTCTGTCGGAGACTTGTCCGAATTGCGAGCTTTGCCACGCCCCCCAATCGGGGCGAAGCCCATTCTTGAGGCTGTTTGCATTCTTCTCGGAGAAAAGCCAGTCAAAGTTGCTGACCCCGCCGACCCCACACGACGAGTTTTGGACTTTTGGGGTGCAGCTCAACAGCGGGTGCTGATAGGTGAACCTCCACAACTGGTGTCTAGGCTACGCGCAGTAGATCATGACAAAATATCAAACAAGGCCATTTCAAAACTAAAAGATACCTACATAGGACCAGGAGCGACACATGAAGCATCCTTTGTAGAGCCCGATATGCTTGATGGATTCATAGGCGCGACTGTCTCAAGCGCACTTTGCCGATGGGTTTGCGCCGCGAGCAGCTATGAGCAGACCTCGCGCACCGCACAACCAAAACGTGATGCAGCGGCACGTGCACAGTCTGAACTCGAAAAATCCCTCGAAGCGCTCGAGCGCAAAAGGAATGAGATCAATGGTGTCGAGGCTGAATTGGCGGACATCGCCGCAGGGCGAGATGCGACTCGAGGGCGCTGCGATGAGCTTCAAGAGACAATCTTGATTAACTCCCGTCGTCTCGAGCGCGCAAAGTCCTTGCTAGATGCTCTCGTGTCGGGTGGGGAGCTTGAGCGGTGGGAGACACTAGCACGCGAAGCTAGCACAAGAGCAAGCTCTCTTGTTGCCGATGCCCTTTTGTCTGCGGGCGCATTGACGTATCTGGCTCCGTTGGACTCAAGTTCACGATATCTATGGCTTGTAGATTGGGTTGCGTCCTGCAAACGCCGTGATTTGCCAGTATCTGCAGAGTGGAGTGTAGATGCTTCATTAAATCATGATGGGCAACCTCCACAACCAGCGTTGGTAGAATGCTGCGCATGTGAAATCACTTGACTCACAAGAAGCCATCAATAATCATAGGTTCTTGCATCCATGCTTGATGAGGGGCATTTTCGTGAATGGCAAGATATGCTCTCACCTCTTCCATGGTCTCCAACCAACGATCTCGCTCTTGAGATTGAAACAGTTGTTCAGTCTGCTCTGTTTGCAAAGCACTCATTACGTTGGCCTTTGCTACTAGACCCTCACGGTGTTGCACTCAAATGGGTTTGTGCTGTTGAGAATCAATTGACCACTTTGCATGGGTCTTTGCAGCATTCAAAAATGTGGGCTGCTGTTGAGACAGCGGCCCCTATGGGAACCTCGGTGCTCATCAAAGACATGTGCGAGAACGACCTGGCAAATGCACAGACTTTGACTGGGCTTCTCCCACGTCGCATCAACAGTATGGAAAGCTCCGAGTACCCCAGCGTGCAAAATACCAAAATTTTAGTTGGTCTGAATGCGGTCAAGGGAGTTGCTTGCCATGAGGACTTTAGATTTTACATGACCTCTCAACAACAAGAATGCAGCGTAGCTAAAGTCCTCTGGAATGGGCGCGAACAACTTATTGTGATCGATTTTGCGCATTCACATGCCGCGCTAAAGTCAGAGATGTTGCAGGTGATAATTTCTGACAAGCAAACAGCGATGTACAAGGAAGGAAGATCGTTGGTTCAACAGAACAGGAGAAATCGGGAAAGAATTCTCGAGGTCGAGAGCGAAATCCTAAAGGTGCTGACAGAAACTTCGAAAGGCAGCAGCTCAGTACTGGACAATGGTCTGGCCATTGAAAAGTCCCAATCCTTGGTAGCGGAGGTTTGCAACCTTCGTGAGCAGCAGCTGGACATCAACAGGACCAAGTGTGATCTTTATTTGTCACACAAACGATACATGCCGACGGCCCAGGCGGCGCAAGTATTTTTCTGTGCAATTTCTGACCTGATTCACGTTGAAGGTGCCTATGCATTCTCGTTGAGATGGTTTGTTGACCGCATCTTGATTTCTTCACTGAAAGATATTCCGTCCAACGACTTCAAAGTTGACGAGTCAAATTCCGCCAAAAATATGGATGGGATAGTTGCGCCTCTTACCCATACGCTATATCGGCACATTAGTCGCACTCTTCTATCGAAGGACAGACTCCTCTTTGCTCTACTGCTCGCTGTGCGACCGCTTCTTGACACAGGAGCCATTGGAAGTGCCGAGTGGCAATTCCTTCTCACAGGCACTGCATGCCTTCAAAGGGCAGAAGGCCTTGTTGCTTCTGCGCTCAAGAGCGATGCAACCGCTTCGCCACCTGACATTTTTCCAGCCCCACAAAGAGTTGAGGAGCACGAGAACCCAGCCAAATCATGGCTGCCGGACTCGCAATGGACTGAAATGTGCTCCCTCTCTACACTACCCGCCTTTTCAGGGCTGATCGAGGAATTCGAGGCGCAAATCAAGATGTGGAAGCGTATTCACGATTCACAAGAGCCATACACACAGCCTTTACCACGACACTGGGATGCCGATTTGCGCGGCGTCAATAGACTTTGCATCCTCAGGTGCTTGAGACCAGATCAAATAGCGAATGCTGTACGTGCATTCATCCACACCCAACTTGGTGAGGATTTCCTGGTGGCACCAAAAGTCGATATTGATGAAATTATGGCGGAAAGTAAACCGCTAGTCCCTATCGTCATTACTACAACTCAGGAAAACAAGGCATCAGCGGTTAGCTTCGTAGTTGGTGCGGCAAATCGCATGGGTCGCAATGTCTCTCATATTTTAGTGGTTGCTAGCCGCACTGGGGTGGCTCGAAGGACGCTGACCCAGGGGCTTTCGAGTAGCTCATGGGTAATAATCCAGAATCTGCAGCTGTGTCCAGGATTCACGACGCACTTGGAGGAGGTCTTTTTCAATAACGGCGGTCCTGTCAGCGCCCACGTCAATTTTCGCGCCTGGTGTGTGATGGATGTCAATCACATTTTAACCACCAATCTCCTAAAAGCTGCCACCAAATTTGTGTACGAACCCCCCCGTGGCGTACGCTCAGTGGTCCTGGATTTGTACAATGCGGCTCTGGAGACCAATCCCGATTTCTTGTCCAATTGTACGCGTGGTAATGAATTTCGCCGCCTGTTTTTCTCCTTGTGCATTTGCCACGCAATACTGCGTGAACGTGTGTCGTACGCGTCGTGAGTATCCGGTGCCACTCTTAGTGAGTCAGTGAGCTAAACAGAATCTGTTATCATACACCATGTAGGCTCGGTTGGAACGCCTCATACAGTTTTTCACCAATTGAGTTGATCTTGTCATCGCACCACCTTGTTTGTTTACTAGATAACCACGAGGATAATCAACAGGCCGCGCCCTTTCGTGCAATTAAGCTCTGTGTTGGTGAATACATATATGGCGGACACGTCCTGGACAATATGGATCGTCGATTATTAACTCTGATTTTGGATCGATTCTGCCGTCCTGATGTCCTGCGACCTGGCCACGCTTTGAGCTCATCTGGTGAATTTCGTATGCCCTTACAGGACGGTAGCAGGACTTCCTGGTTGCGCACTGTTGAGGCACTTCCAGTAGCTGCCCCACTTGAATTTCTAGGGCTCCACGATAGCGCCACCATTGAAAAGAATAAAAGAGAAACCTCAGAGTTACTAATTGCTGTATTTTCAACGGAAAACAACAACAATAAAAGGCACCTGGGGGCTACTGATACTTTCGGGAGTACAATAGATCGGTCTGATGCATTGCTCGGCTTGATACCACCAGGACTAGGCGAGCCGCCCAAAGCCAAAAACACCGGGTCCTACTTTTTAATTTCCGTTCTCGCGCAGGAGCTGTTAAAATATGAGACGTTGCTCGCCATTGCCCGTCATCTCCTATCCAGCATCAGTGCGGCGTTGAGAGGACGACAGCCTATGAGCGTGTCACTTGACAAAATGACACAAGAAATTGAAAAGGATAAGATCCCACCAGCATGGAGAAGATATTCATATTTGTCTAGGAGCGGGCTGTTGTCTTATGTAAACGATCTTGTACTGCGATGCAATTTTTTTTTGTCATGGTCGACTAAAGCGGCCCCTTCCATATATTGGCTTGGTGCGTTTTTCTCACCGCGGGCTTTTCTGTCGGCTATAAGAATGAATCACTTTACTGCTCCTGATAATTCATTGTTGATGGAATTTGATTTCAGGTTCCTCTCGAATGATGTATCGACGGGAGAGGGCTCCGAACCAGCGAAGGAGGGTGCCTATATTCGAGGAATTCAGATTCAGAGCGCTCGGTGGGATGTCCGCAGGCAAGGCTTGGTTGAATGCTTGCCAAAGACACAATTTTCCCCAGCGCCAGTGATGTGGTTCAAGCCGATAGATCCAGCAGAAGCATCTAGCCGAGCTAATGCCTCTTTTGAATGCGCTCTCTATCGAACCACCGCTCGCCGTAGTGTTTTTTCCTCGGATGGTCTCTCGACCAATTTTATACTACTTATTAAGACACCGTCGCCTATGCCTCCGTCCCATTGGATTGAACGAGGGACTGCCATGTTGCTGCAACTAGATGATTAAAAGCTTATGGTCTCAATTCACCAAAGCAAATACTAGACCTGAGACCGTGTTTCACTTCGCCCTAGCTAGAGCTTAGCGGGCCGCGCAAAGCTTAGCAGACGCGAAGCTGCCCGATGGCCTCTCAGCGTCATCTCGGGCGCGCGGCGCCGCCAAAATGCAAAGATGCGCGACGACCCAGAGGCTGCCCTTCGGGCCAGAGACCGTCGGCGTCATCATGGTCCCAGCGATGGACTTGATCCTCTCTCGGAGCGTCCCCGGTGCGGCCGAGACCGGGGGCGTCGTCATGGGCTGCCGAGATCGTGGTCCGAATCGACGCCGATGGCATGGGAAGACGGTTTTTCATCATCGTGGGGGGCGCCAAGGGGTGCCCGCACACGCGGACCCGCGGCGGGCACCACGACGCCGCCGCCACGGCGCCCCACGGTCCTCGCCATTCGGGCTGCTTCGGGGTCCACAAGCTTAGCACTGGGACCGAGTGCTAAGCTTCGATTGATCGGCAAAGCTCAAGTCGAGCTTAGCCGCCCGGCAATGAAACACGGTCTGAGGGGGAATCGCGATATTTTGAGGTCACCTTTCGGTTACCGGGCAAGTGAATCCAGCGCTGAGCGCCTTTTGGGGGTCGCACTGCTTCGGCTCATCACGCCGCAAAGCCGCGATCGAACACGCAGCTCAAGGCGAAGCTCGGGTCGACGTACGAAGATCTCATTAATCGCGAGACGTCCTTCTACGGCTCCGACGCCCCAGTCAAGCGACACAACAACTGGCGAGGAACCGACCAAGCAAAGAAATATCAGCGAACTGTTCGACAAGTTCGTCAACTAACGGCACCGTAAAGCCTGAATCCCAGGCCTAACTGGAATCCCGCTGGCTTCGTATATTATAAGGGCCTCGCTGACAGTTTGTCTGCGCGGCACCGTGCCTGAGTCTACGAGAGTAGCCTCCTTCTTAAGTCAGTTCTAGCACCCACTTAAACCGCCCAGAGAGATCTGCGCCTTCCTAGTGGCCCGCTGGTACAGAGCCACCCAGGATTTCCCCCCTCTCCTTAATACTTCAACCCTGCTATAGTAGAGAGATAGAGAGTTTTGTATCTCCCTAGTGGCTCGCTGGTACAGAGCCGCCCAATATCCTTTCCCTTCCTTACTACTTTCTAACCATGTTATAGTAGCGTCCCGCACTGTAATATGCAGTTTCGCGCGTGACGTCCCCTGCTGCGCGTCGCGCGCTTGTTGCTCGGTCCATTGGCAAGGTGTGTGCAGCGTAGCGCATTCGAAATCGCTGCTCGAGGCGCTGTTCCAACATGTCGGGGAGGAAGAAAAGGAAGTCCACCCGACGGTCGACGGCGGTGGTTCAGCAGGGGTCGCACGAGACGCGTCGTGATGGTACCAGGCGCACCCGCCCTTTAATTCCGCGCCATTCCGCTGGAAGCAACGCAGCAGGAGCAAGCACTAGATCACCCTGCGCAATTGCGCCGCGCCGCATGAACGAGACAAGCGCGCGCACGCCCGCCATAACGTGCCAAGCCTCAATTATCTAAAAGGTCGAAGGAACCAGGTAAGGTTAGGGCCCGTATGCCTTCTATGGAGCTGTTTTTAGGCCGCCAGTACGGCTAGAGAGCGAAAGGCGTTGGGAGTATGCCCCTGGAAAGCGCGGTGCGGGACGTATTTAACATCTAGCCGAGCACTGGTTCAGCACCGGCTGCCTCGGCAACCTCACTTAAGATGCCGATCTCGTCCTGATCTCGTCCCTGTGGGCCGGCGGCTGGCCGGCGGCTGGCCGGCAGCTGGGGGCTTAATTCAGGCGCCGGGGCCCCGGCCGGGCCCCAAAGTAGAACGCGTCGCATTTCCCGCGGGCTCGCGGTGGTAAAGAACGAGGCCCCACATGCGCCCACATTGGACCCGCCGCCAATCCGCGCAAACCCACGGGCTCCTGCAACGGGCTTCCCTGACAAGCGTCGAGTTTCCCGGGTGCGGCCAAACTAGGTTGCGTCGAATTTTCTGCGGGCGGTGTGATCGTTATTGTTGTAGCTTCGGCAGAATCCGATTACGGTTGTAGGACAGCGAGGTTGATTGCAATTATCTCTTCGTTTCACTATGGAACTGCGTAGCCCGGGGAGCTGCCCCACAAATTCAATTGCTTGTCGTATTACTCCTTTGAACTGCAGTGATGCGGTCCCCAAGTGAAAGTGCAATGCCTTGGGTTTTGGATCGAATGCGAATATATCCGCAAAGTTTGCCGTCGGCGTCATTTTTTTTCTCCACGGAAACATTAACAAGTGCGTCTTCGCCAAAAATAGATTTTGCGTATAAATTCGCAGCTAGGAAGGAAGACGTGCCACCAAGCGCAGAGCGAGGTGTCAGGCAGCGCATATTAGTCATCGAAACAATATGCTCCAAGAAATCGCCAAGCTCAACTATGGTGTAGATATAGCTACCTTATTTTCCCATTCAAATTCAGCCCACATGGAGCGAAACATTTCGTCAGAGCACAAGGCCGGTCTAATGTAATCCATTATATCGAGGTGAATATTGTTCAAATTCACAAATGTTTTTTCAGCAGTTGAAGAATTCTCATAGACTATCGTCCCAAAGATATGACCAGTTTCTGTTGATGACACCTTGATGTTTGCATTAATTGATCGTTGAGCCAGTGGCCCAATAGTCAGAGACTGTGGTCGCTCAACGAGCTTTAAATCGCCCATGGTGGCCAACTCTACTGTTAGGTTGGTCAGCGTCGAGGGCGTGCGGTTGATGATAAGAATTTCCAGGAGAATGTCGTAATCATGCACAGTTACGCAGGCTTCAGCATAGACAGGATCAGCAAAGCCGGCCAACTGATAGACGTGGCTAAGGCGCATCCCCACAGAGTCCCCCCCCTCAGTGAACCCGGTCGCACGCATCAAGTCATCGCCATCACATAGATCCAATTCACCGCTCGCAGGTGTCACCTGGCGTAGTTGACGCCAAGAAATTAGATCATCCACTTGCGCGATCGTCGGGGCAGACACAAGTAGAGCTTTGCCACCGGCTTCAGCTCCCGGCGTTGCACTCAAAGTGTAGCGCAGATAACGCGAAAATGCCTGTCTACTGTCATTCAAATAGGAACCAAGAATTGCATGATCTATGCCATCATCCAACAATAATCTCACAAATAGGGTCAAACGCTCAAGACAGTCCGCAGATGCACCCAGGCAAACATTCTGGAACGTCTCTGCACCTGCAGAACACACCTTATGACTATTTTTCATCGAACTACAACTTTCTGCTGTGGAATGCTCGATGAGCTCGGCTATGCCACAGCATACATCTAGCACCAAGAGCTGGCGCTGCTTTGTCGTAGGATGACTCTCACCATGAATGGTACGAGTCTTGAGGACAAGTTTCGTCAGAGCGTTTACTGCGACTGTCCCCAAAAACACGTCTCCCTTGGAGATGAGGGTCCTTAGCACAGGGTCACCGCTCACAAAACTTGGCTGCGGCTCAATAGCCACAGTCTGTGAAGCATACGTGCCGTCGGCAAGAACCACAGATTTTGTTGCTGTAGTAGTATCTAACATTGCATCATCAGTCTTTAGTAAAATGCTGTCATTGTGAGAGAGACGGACAAGAAAGGGGGACTTTCCTAGTAGATCCGCCACTCCACGAAACCCCAAATCGAGCAAAGCTTGATCTTCAATATACTCTCCAATAATCCAAAGGGAGACGCCAAGAACAGGCGATGACTTGATTTCACTTAGAGTGTTAATTAATTTTTCCAACATTCCCGCCCGTAATGAAACATTCTGCTCGACAATTGCCCGCACAAAGATGATCACATCCATAGCCCCCTCGAGACAAAGAAAGTCCATTAAGACATGAACAACTGAACCGGCAATTTCTGGAAACTTGACGGAGCATGTGTGAATGGCATGAATCAGCATTCCTCGATACTCAGAACTGTTTTCTAGGTCTGAGTCGCGAGTGCGCACGACCTCTCGCTTGAGCACGTGAACGACTTCCTCGATGTTGCGCGGCGAGACCAAATCGATTGCTATTTCAAGGGTTCTCTTGCAAATATCCACATTTGGTGAAGCGAGTGCTCTGAGCATGTCCATCAAAACTTCAGCCAGCACCCTCGATTGGCGTTTTTTCATTTCAGCTAAGCGCTCTAAAACAATGAGCTTAACGTTGTTATCTGACTGTAATGAGAGCAAAGCTGTGTATGTCGTCGCTGCAGCACGCACTGCCGTCGGCGCGGAAGATAAGCTCACTAGAGTCCAAGCAGCCTCGTAGCTGACTGCCGCAGACTGAGAACTAAGCAGCTGAAATAGAAAGAGCACAAATCTTGACTTCTGTTGTGGGTCGCGGCGACAAACCTTGCGTGTCAGCTCTAGAACAAGCAGGGCAAACCCGTCACCGAACTGATCTACTTCATCGGCGTGGGTTGCCAAGAACTCAATTGCAAGCTCCTCTGCCTCATTGAACAGCATAAGGAACGCATTTCGACGAGAGCCCACCTCTGATTCTGCGTTGATAAAATTTTCCATAATTTCCGCACCATCAGGGACTAGAGTTTGTCCATGATGCTTATGAATGTGATAGATTGCAAGAGCTGCGTTTTTCCGGACATACGAATGGCGATGGTTTAAGCAAGATTTGATCGATGGTACAAGCGGCTCTATTATTTCAGGTTCTCTCAACTTGCATAAAAATCGTAACATTGAGCCTCGAACATACTCATTTGAATGATTCAAATCATTGCGCAGTGCATTGCATACCTAAGCGTCTGATTTGACCGCACACCTAGGCCAATGTTTACCAATATCATTTCGGGCCGTAATTTTTTATCTGAATCATACTTTGGCACGATTTCCCAAAATAACATTAGCAGTTTCTTGAACTCGTGATGTTCAGTGTTGATGCAAAAACGTATGACAGTCATTAATATCTTTGGCATCGGCTCCCCCCCGAGCATCATGAGAATTGCAGACTTAAGTGCCTTGACTTTAACCTATAGACTGGAGTGAGTGTACCTCATAGTATATAAACTCACCTTGTCATCAGAGTCTTCCAACTGTTTTAATATTTCCTCTTGGGCCACCAACGTTTGTTTATCCGTATTAAAGAGCACTACGGACGCACTGTTCTGTCCTAGCGAGCAATAATAATGGGTTTACCTGTACAATTCTCAGAGACGAGCGACATCGTACTGGTAACTGGAGTCAGACTTCTCCTCAAAGCGCACGGGCGCCTGTAGCTATGGGAGGCGGATTACCCAGTGCGCGAAACAACCGACGCCTAGGCCGGCCCGTACGAAATAAGCGAATAATATTTATTAATTAAATCCGGCCAGCGGCCGGAGGGCCAGCGGCCGGAGGGACGTGTACTACACCTCCTGAAAATTTGCCGTGCGCGCGCGCGCACGCGGGTCTAGTGCGGGTTGAAAGTCAACTTTTCGCGAAAAAAGATCCTCACGCCCGAGTGTCTCAAAATGTACGACGCTACCGCACTCACAACGTCAGCCTCGGCGAAAGGACCCCACTTTCGAGCGGTTTACGACCCCCAACTTCAACTTTTATGTTGAACTTGGCAACTAACCAAGCTGAGCTTCAAGATACAAAACCCCAGGCCTTTCGTTTCAAGCTTTTGTTTCGCGCACTTGGATTACCGGGTAATGCCCGGGAGGCCTCGGTAATTACCGGTAATTACCGGGTAATTACCGCAGAAGGGTAATTTACCGGTACTCAGGGCGTCCGCGGACGGCTAGAGGCGGCATGGCGGCTCGAATGCGTGATCATGGATTCCGACTCATAGGGGGCCGGGTGGGTGGGGGGGGGTTGGTGGGGGGGTCCAAGCGTAAGTCGTGCGGTGGCAGCTCTCGGTTGAGGCCCAGCTTGGATTATTTATTTCCCAGTCTGCAGAGTCAATGGATGTGTGTGCCGGACCCAAACCAGTGCTTGGGTAAGTCGATGGATGTGGAATTGGTCATGGTGTGGCCATTCTCATAGGAAAGGATGTTTTGGTAATGCTTTGAGGGGGCCTTTTGGGAGGCAGGCGGGCGAGCGAGAAGAGCATATTCAGCATCCATGAGGTCCCTGGGCGCGGCAAAACCAATCAGATATCTGAGACTGTGATCAACCCTGGGATCAGCTGGTGCGTTCCTGTGAGATTCCAATGAGCTAGAACTATAGGGCCTCTTGAGCTTTGTGGACACTGGCTTCGGCTGCCCAGTGCCACCACCCACCTGGGAGACGCGACACATTTGACGTACAAACAGTCCATCTTGTTAGACACAGGTCAACGAACGGACTGTGGATTGACTCCATGGTCAATGCCTTCCACCATGCTATGGGCCAAGCCACACCGAGAGATCAGAGCTGGACCGACAGCATAATGCGCGGTTGCTTGGGGAAGCTTGTTGTAGGAGTGAGAATTATGCGTGGAGGTACCGTCAGCTAGTTGAGTATCATCTGCCAAGAGAGCGCGAGGTGTAGGCAGCTGCTGCATTGGGTTCGAAGTTGACACCTCATTCTCGAAACTAGGTGCCGACTTGGACGCTGCGAGCTCACGGAAGTTGAACTCCCCGATGGAACGTGGTTCTGCACCGTGGAGCAATACGCGATCCAGAGCTGTGTGGGCAAGAGCGGCTAGGCGCTTCGAGCGCCATTGTTGACGGAGGCGTCGATTCTCGAGGAGGATGCGAAGATCGCGCTCGTCGAAGAGCGCGAATTCAGAGGCCGGGAGCTCAAGAGAGATGAGCTCAGCAGAGACAACGACCGTGGAACAGAGCTCCACGACAAGCCCCTCGGCGCGCTTCTTTGCTGGTGAAAGATAGTTGATTAGACCCGAGTCACCAAAATAGTCACCATCACCAACTGTGAGAAGTTTAATTGGGTGGCGACCAAATAGCTGGGGTGCCGTCAGAACGGCACCAAGAGCACCCGAAAGAATACGCGGCAGGCCTCGAGTAGGGGTCTCGTTATTGACAGCGGCCGCTTGAGCAGCAGCGACGCGAGCCGCACTGGAGTCACTGGCAATGTGTAAAATAGCAGTGCCAGACACTATGCATACGAGAGTATCCTTGGTAGTACCCTCGGTTGCAAGTGCTTTGTCCTTGGGGTAGTGTCGCTCTTGCATAGCATAAGCGAGGCGATGGAGACGGTACAGGTCCCAGTGCTTGAGCATTGCGGCACGACGCAAGCACTGGACCTTCTGCTCAAATGTCATCTCTCTGCATCCTTGATCACGCGCGCGTTGGAAGTCGTTATGGTCGACAACGATGACTTCAGCAGTTGCACCCGTAATACAAGAGTGGCGACGTGGGCGCGCCACGCTGGATGACAGTGGCGGGGGGAGCGCCTCTCGGCCGAAGGTGTCGCCAGGGCCTAGTGTGATCACATCTACCTCCATTGCGTCGTCCTCCAGGAGGTCGAATCCAGCTGACCCAAACGCTGGTTCCTCCTGCACGCCATGGGCATTGACAAGGACCCAGCGCCGAAGTCGCACGAAACCAGACATGAGAATGTACGCGCGGTATGCCTCGGCTCCTTGTTCGTAAATGAACTCTAGTGGCAAGACACGCTCGAATCGTAGTGTTCGATACAGGCCTGAAAGTTGAGTTGCTGGCCAATCTTTGCAGTAGTCCGTGTGAAAGCACCAAGAACGTGCCACAAGACCACCAATCACAGACATATCTAGGGCTGATCTACGATAAGGAAGCTTATTCAGCACCTTGGCTCCCTGCTCAGAAATGTACGCTAGACCAGCTTTCTCATCAAGGCGAGAAAGAGAATCTACAAGCCTCCCTAACTCAGGATCTTCGGGATCACAAGCCATCACATCGTTATAGAGGCGTGAATAGACCGTGTTTCGCAAAGTTCGTATGATCGTACGACCGAGCGCTACAAGGCGTTGGCGCCATGTAAGAGACCCATGCCATCCAAAGCTGGCCACTGCGCTTGAGCTCTGGTCTTTTATTTCTTGCTCCTTCTCCGTCGACGCGCGTCGTGCTTTAGAATTCATATTTGGCATCATTTTTCGCAAGAGGTGAGTGAAATCTGGGTGGAAGTCACAGCTAGCGAGCTTCATACATGATACTGAAGACCTTGCAATAACACTGTGCTGATTTGGCTTCTTATAGAGTGCCTTCTCGCCAAAACAGCTCGAGGTTCCCAGGTCTTTTTGCTGCGCAGTATCATCTGAGACGATGGCACATTGGCCCTCAACAATGACATATACGTTCTGCCCTGTCTCGCCCTCGTTCACGATAAACTCCCCCGGGCGGAAAGACACAGGCTTCATCCGCCTGAATATCTGTTGCTGCTGCTGGACCCGCAGACTGCAGAAAAGAAGACATCCAGTCACGGCCTCGCGTGCTCGCTTGATCGCATCTGCATCAGCCGCATTTGCACCCAGTGTCAAGAACGCCTGGCGGCTCAAGCGCAATAGCGATGCACCCGCTGGTCCCGCGCGAACCGTCGCTTTTCTTAATTCACCAGTCAGCAGAGAAGACTCCCCAAAATAGGTCGGTGGATGCAGCCGTACAAGCTCAACACCCTTGGATTTAGCTGTCTCGCCACGGATAATCACCACTTCACCGCCTGTCATCACATACATGCATTCACCGAAGTCCCCCTCGGCGCAAATGAGACCTACGGGATCGGCACGCCTCTATCAGATTGTCGCCACAGGTTAACATGCACGGTGCGTGGCTTCCTGCCTCGGCCTGCACCGGCAGAAGCTGGCCCACAGCTTGCCGCCATTTCTCCTCACCAAGACGCTCAAAGATCGAAATCTTCCCCAAAATCGCCACCTACAAACTGAGCCCGTTAGTTTCGCAGGGAGGAGGCTGCACAGTATAGGGCACGAGCTCGTTGAATCGTTTCGCACGCTCCCGCTCTAACGTGTGCGCTACAGCAATCAGGGGATGCGCTCGCTTGTTCTCTCGAGCACGTGACCATTCGATGTTCTGCTTTTGAATCTGCGATAACCGTCGCGTCAAATCAAGGTCATCGATCGCGTGCATCCCGGACCGCGCTTATTAACGCGTGTGGTTGTATCACCTGGAAGTCAGATATGTCACAGTTGCGTAGGGTGATGATGAGATTGGTAGGAATAGGTAAAGGGCAGTCTAAATGGGTGTTACAGCGTACTTAAGAGGGAGGCTACACTAGATAGATTCGGGCACGGCGCCGCACGACTCGGGCGCGGTGCCGCACAGACAAACTGCCTGCGAGGTTATTATAATATACGAAGACAAGCTGGCATGTGAAGCCCCCCCCCCCCTGATAAACGGCGACTATCGCGGTCAGTACGCGAGTGTGATTAAGCACAATCAAAGTGCGCTTGGCGATAAGCCAGCTGCCTAGGGAGCCTACATTCCGCTCCTTGGGCTATGCTACCCTAACTCGGGACTATGCTATCCTCCTGCCTTCAAGTTATACTGGCTACGCTCATGCTATACTATGCTGGTGCTGAATACTAGCATACTCGGATTCTACCCCCCCCCCCCCCCC